CGGCTCCGGGGGGTACATAAGTACGTTGAGGGTAGATGCAACTATGAAAAGACATACTTTTGATTGTCCTGCAATGTTACAATTCTGCCACCTAACAAATTCACTCAACAGGGGTCGCTTACTACCTACCATCATACCAGATGTTAAGTGTAAACCTGACTAAATGCTATAAGATTTAACTATAAAAACTGAGATTTGGAATGTTGATAGTAGCCCAATGCACGTACTTTTTTCTGTGTAAATAAACTCTCAAATCCCGATTATTATTCTAAAACTATGTCTCCATTATGTCGTAAGCACAAAGTACAAGACACGCTATCCGTCACAAGCTGTCGTCCTGAAAACATGAAGCGAATGTTTAGTGTGGTGTAACTTTGTGGGAATAAACGCTTTTGAACCGTCATCATATATTTTTTGAAGCTTCTTTTTCAATCAGCTTTTATTATAGAAACTTTAATAGGGGAAACAAATAATTGGCTTTTGAGTGTGTACATGTACTTAGTTAATTTGATTTTCCATTTTCTTTCTGTCAATAATGCAAGCGAAAGAGAGTTCACACGTTTATATCCATCCCCCTAAGCTGAATATAAGTATGTGTATCTCGTCTTAGCTGTATTCATAATTATAAATATTCACGGAAACGATGTTTGATGTTTTAAATCAAAAGGCTATTTTTCGAACGCTTCCTGTCTTAAAACTTCAGTGCACGACATGCAACACTCCTTAGACTCAAGTAGGGAAACCCGTCATGATGGAGGGTAGAAGCTGAGGGCTTGTCAACAAAATGTGCATGTCTTCGTGTACAGTCCGCATCTGCACCCCACACTGTGCTGGGCGGGGGTTAACAAATAGAACATCTACATCTCAGCACAGTGTGAACCTCTGAATTGGTAGAGAAATATAGACCCACGACACTTCAGAACGATGTGCAGCCCCTGCACTGGTTGAACAACACTTATAGACATATTCATTTAGAACTCTCAGAGCTTTCGTACTTTGAGATGTTTACTCGTCTTGCTGTCGTTTCATCTTTCTTATCTCTTTCCTTTTTTTCTTTTCCTTTTTCCTTTTTTTTTTTGGCTGGACAGAATTCATTGATAAAAAAATAACATGCATGTAGAGTCTGTCTAATACGGTTAAGAACAACATCACCTCCAACAGTTGCAACAATAATAAAAAGAATACTGCCAACGATCTGCAGTTGTACCAGTCTATTTTCTGTTCGTGCGTCTTTGCAGGTCTTGTTACGAGTTGTATGGGATCCGAAAAGGCGGCGAGAGACAACCTCCTGACCCCCCTCCCCCCCGACACAACCACCAACAAAAAAAAATATAAACAAAAATCGCTTTCCAGCTCTATCTTCTAGCAGCTTATTCCGAACACTTCTAGCCTTTTTTGCACCAGTGTGAGGGAAGGGGGGAAAAACGTGATTGTACACTTGCCCGACAAGTCGGGTCTATATATCTGATCCGCATGGGTAGGAGAATCAAACTCGATTTGTAAATATTTATTTGACAGAATCAGCAGGCACAGACCTTGCCCTCTATGCGGTAAAATAAGCCTAATCTAAAAACATACATATCAAAACTTGCATATATATTTTTTTTTTTAAAAATCTGAATGCCCCTAACGTTTATCCAGCACCCAGCTATAATGACACAAACTCATATTCAACTCTCAGAAGAAAGCTATAGATTATATTTTCCCTTTTATCAGTAATAAAACCCAACACTTTCCTCAAAAGTCAGCTTTCTTGAGATACTTTTTATAAGCGACATAATGGGTCTTAACCTGGTGATGTGGATCAATGAGACGCTCCCACCCCTAACTCCTCCCTTCTCTTAATTAACGCCTTTGAAATTGAAATATTATGCATGTTTTCCACTAATCGGATACAACCACGCCGTACAACTTAAGGGCATAGAAAGTAAAGCATCCACGTAACAGATTCAGCAAAATCGGACAGGTGCACACTGTACTGAAGCACAAAGTCTGGGGCTAGAAAATGTCGAAGTGAAGTATCCGAGAGTGTGCAGAGGAAGAAGGCGTCGTTTGGCAGGGTCGCTGAGGAAAGCAGGCCCGCGGCCTTTATGTGACCTTGGGTATCTTATGACGGGCTATGTCGACCTGGCCTCTCAGAGTTTGACACATTGGGAACCCTCGGGCCTCGGTGAGCCCGTCACTGCTCACTCTCGCTTTTGCTTTTTCAATTTCTCTTTCACTCATTCGCTCCTCTGCTCACTCATTCGTTCACTCTTTCGCTCACTCACTTACCCACCTACTCCCTCACTTTCTCTTTCTCTCTCTCTCTCTCTCTCTCTCTCTCTCTCTCTCTCTTTCTCTCTCTCTCTTTCTCTCTCTCTTTCTTCCACTCAATCTCTCTCTTTCCATCTCTCTCTCTCTCTCTCTTTCTCCCTCCCTCTCTCTCTCTCTCTTTCTCTCTCTCT